GTGTGTGTGTGTGTGAGAGAGAGAGAGAGAGAGAGAGAGAGGGGGGGAGGGGATGAGAGAGAGAGAGAAAGATAGGGAGGGAGGGGAAGGAGGAAAGGGAAGAGAGAGGGGGAGGGAAGGAGGGAGGGAGAGAGATCACAATTAAAAAGAAAATTATCAGCAATTTTGTATGTTGGTTTTTGGAGCATATAATAAAGTAAACAGTCTGCTCTTGTAAACACTCAGACTTGATTCTTGCTCGTCTTAGATATGAATGTATAAACTTGTGAGAAATTTTCATTTCCATCACATCCTTTTCCAGGATTGGGTTATTTATTCATTTTTCTTGTGTGTGTGTGACTTAAACTGATTCCAAGAATACTACACTGGACTATGAGAAATTCTACTTAAAATTACTTCTCCAATTAGGGTAATCAGGCAAATAGAAGTGATTATTTTAAAATAACAAATCTATTTTGTTTATGATTTTTATCTAAGTCAAAGTGGTTCATTTTTTAAATGGCATTATTTCTGTTAATGAATGAAGAAAATTATTTTACAGCGCTCTTGAGTAGCTGCTGGCTAAGTAAAGTTAGATTCTATGAGTAAGACTAAGCTGCTTCACATTTCAATAATTCTCCACATTGGGCATTAATAATAAACTTGCTACTAACTGTATAATTTAGGGAAGGTCACTAAACTTCTGGGCCTTAATTTTTCTTGCTATAAAATGAGATCATACATGATTTCAAAATCCCATTTTTGCAGTAAAATGTCTAGTTCTTTTTCTGGTTTTTCAACTGTAAAGGGTAAGTTCCCTAGAGCTTGCCACTAGATTAAATCAACTTCTCTTGCTTATCTTGGCTGAGAGAATCAGGAAATTGGACTTTCTTAATTGGAGCCATCTTCCACTGTGCCAGGTTAGCAAAGTGACTTGGAGGTGAAAGGCATGTCAGATAGATATGTAGATAGCACTTCATCATCAGAGCATAGCATACACTTTTATCCTTGTTTGTTAGTTTTTAATTAGGCCTGTTGGGACCATGGAAAATTTATGTATGGCTTTTTTGTTCTTCCTTGTTTTTCACTAGTGGTTGCATGTCTGGGGGTTCTTTCTTTGTCTTTTGTTTTTCTTCTTCAAATTTCACTTAGTGTATAACTTGATATGATTAGAAATGAAAGATCTAGAAGGTTGAGTTTTGAAAAATACTGATGTACTCTTTTTCTGCCTCCTCTGTCTATATCCTTCAAAAAACAACAACAGAAAAATTGTCGTAGGTCCAGTAACTACTATTAATGAATGACAGATTGGAATAATTTAACAGGCACATTGAGTTATACAAAAAGAGAGAGAGAGAGAGAGAGAGAGAGAGAGAGAGAGAGAGAGAAAGTAGCCTTGAACCAGACTGAAGCTATTAGTCATCTTCTGTTTTGTTTTACCAGATTGCTTAATACCCTGTTACTGTAAGCTGTATGGGTTCAGCTCTACATTTGTTTCACCAAGAGCATGGAGGGAGCATTTTAGAAAGTTTTTCAAATCAAAAGTTTTCAGTTCTGTATCTGCAGTATTTGAACTAAAGCTGTCAAGCGAGCTTCTTTCCTTTCAGTAACTGGAGCTACACACCGTATTGAGCGCCCTGTGTACTTCTTGACTTTTCACTCCTTTCTAATACCTGTTCTACAACTTGACATTTACTTGTTGGCTGTGTTTCAGAGGGACTTTGTGATTATATCCTCACTTACCACCATCACTATTTGGAAGTGCTGTGAAAGCGTGTGTGGCCGTTTGTTTTGTGAATGACTTTTCATACACATCACTTAATACTTAAAAGTTAGTCCAATAGAGGTTGTGTTAGCATGCCCACTTTTCGTAGTTCAGAGAGTTCATATGATTTGCCTAACAAAGCCATTTCAAAGGCTATGCCTCAGCCCTCCCTGCCTGTTTTTAAGAGACAAGGTCTCACTGTGGAGTCTATGCTGGGTTTCAACTCATGATCCTCCTGCCTTAGCCTGCTGGGATTGCAGGCATGTAAGACCATGCCTGGCTGTCATCTTTACTTTTCTTGTTGTAGAAAAGAGCCTGGTGACTACATTTCTCATGTATACTTTAAAAGATGGCGTAGAAGCACAATAGGAACGGCTGAGTCCTTCAGTTGAAAACCCTTTCATTTCTGTGCAAAGAGTACTTTTCATTTCTCTCACTTTTCAATATTCTACTTTCGAGAGTAGAACTCGGTTGTTTCCTTTGGACTTAAAAGGACCTTACAACATGTAGCATAGTGAGCCTTTAGACAGAGAGCTCCGTGGTGGCTTTGTGTGTTTGGTTGCCCATTCTAAATTTGAATACTACTTTTCTCCCAGGTTTTCTGCTAAATTATCATTTCTGTATTAAAGTTTGGATTTGCTTTTCTTTTTAGTAGGCTTTCTGTATGTTACTATGAGTACACATGTGTTCAAGAATTAAAAGTATCTTTTAAATATGACCAGAAAAGTGATGGTTAGTCACACATAGACAGAAAAGTATCTTATCTTACTTACCAGTCTTTTTGTTTAACTCAGTAGTGATAAAGATTGTTGGAAATAAACATGAAAATTCAGTATAGTTCAATTGTTGAATTATCAATAGTGATTTGACCATAGTCAAACCTGGTAAACATGAAGTTCACATCTTGAAAGTGTTCATTTGTTTTAAACATGTAGTCATTTATTATTCAGAAGGGGGAAAAAACAATTTCAGTGTTATTATAAACCTCTGGAGGGAAAAACTTGTTCTTCATTTGTAAATGGAACACCACAGTGCCTGCTTTACAGAGTTATAATGAAATAATGTATTGAAAGAGGCTATGGAAAAAATTCAGGTATTTTTTTTTCCTTTTCTCTGTCTTCAATTGAGGAGTGTTAATGTGATAGCCATTGTAAAATTACATGGAAGTCATGTTTGTTTTGTCTCTTGGAAACAATGGATGTGACAGAAAGAAGACAGAAAATGAAAAAGAACTTACTTACTTGGTAGGCACTTCTGAGAAAGAAACATGCAACTATTAGAAGATAGGTTTCTTTAATTTTCACACAAATGGCTTTTTTCATTAAAATTTTCCCAAAGAGTGTATGGTTCCGAACATCTTGCTTACTACTTACTCACTACTGCTTTGGTTCATAATTGCTGTCTTCACCGATGATTTATGTCCCATCTGGTAGGAAAAATAGTGATGCAAAGGGAAACCAGTACACGCCTACTTGTTTACCCTGCTAATTCCTCTTGTTCTCATTAGAGGAACAGAGAGAGCAGTTACACTGCTCTTTCACTGTGGTCAAGTCACAGAGATGAACAAAAAAAACGACTTTTGTTCTTTCCTTTTCCCATCTTTTGTATTTTTCCATGAAATACAAAATTCGTTTGTACTTCCTTTAGTTTCCTAGGTTAACATTGAAATCAAGTAACTTTCTAACTTCTGGACTGTGCTTCTATGAAATGTTTAGAAATAGTTTTGTTTTAAAATCTAGTATTTGTGAACACTACTATTAATACTAAGATTTAGTTGGAAAATGTCAGTGTTCGTTTAAAAAAAATGGACCTTTCCATCAGCTTTACTTTGTGACTAGCAGCTTAAAGGATAGATGGTGATTTGTAAGTTCTTCCTTTAAGAAGCTTAGAGTATTCTTCACTGGGGTAAGTCATAGAATGTGTTACATGCTCAAAGGAGCACGAGATCCCATTCAGATGAAAGGCTTCCTGGAGGTGCTCAGACCTGGGCCAGGTTCTGAGGGATGAAGAAGGTACCTCACAGCAACATGTCCTGAAGCAGTGCGAAGATGACAAATGTCCACCAGGATAAGTGTTGGGTGGACACTGGGACAACTAGACACATCGATAAAAACAAAGGGAATGCTTTGTAGATCTTAGAACTAGCAGCTGTGGTCTACACATGACAGTACTTAGCCACAGAACTTGAGGAAGGTGAGGAGAAACTAGGGGTAATGACAGGTCAGATAGGATGGCAGTAATGGAGGTTATGAATACTAATTCCATAAGCCATAACATAGTCTGAGTAGGAGGATTGAGACAAGAGAGTGTCTCTCAGGATGTAGCCCTAATGAGCCTAGGTGGTAAGTTCTGGCCCTTTCTACTTCCCCTTTCTCTTCTATTCATTCTAGTGTGGTCTCTGCTCTCTTGTTTACTGAAACTACCTCTCACATGGATGCTTCATAGACTGTTCTAGGGCAATGTGGTCAGAACTGCATTCTACACCTTGCCTCACAAATTTGCATCTCTTACTTCTCTATGCTTTGATGAAGCACCAACAGCCATCCCATTACCAGATTTTAAAACTCTTCCCTTGCCAGCCTGTCATTCATCTGTAAGCATCTGACTGTTAGCTTTTCATATGCCCCCAAACAGACTGAGACTGGAGTAAAATAGATGATGGCGTCAGTGTGGAAGAGAGGGCCGTCCTAGTGTGATAGTCTCTGGGCGTGTT